TGTCTTTGTAAATCATCTCTTGTTTTATCTACTTTTAAATCTTATATCTAAGAGTAATGTATTACTAAAGCTGAAACAATTTTAAATTAATTCTTAATTAATATTATTTTTATTAAACTTTCATAAACAAACTTATGTTATTGATTTCTAAAAGTATAAACATCATTTTTATGATTAGATTAAAATTTATAAATAAAAATTAAATAAGCATTGTCATAGATTTATAAATACAATTAGTAAATAAAAGAAAATTTATATTAACATTGTTCCAAGCATTCATAATAAAATTTAAATAAGTTTTTATTTAGGTTTTAAATTATATTTTTAATAGAATAAATACATTAAATCAACATTCTTTTTACACTTATGAATTTATAAATAAAATTTCTATAACTATTTATAATCGAATTTATAAATAAAATTTTAATTAATTAAGATTATTTCCTTTCATCCAAAATTATCTAAGTTCAGCTACTTATTCACTTATATCCATTTTATCAAGTTACGAAACAATCTATATATATCATCCAATTAGAGTTTTTTGACTTCCTTTTAATTTATTATTTTATTAAATACCTCTGGAAGTAAGGATGAAAATTTATATTTTAGTCCATTAATAGTTTTTAACACAGTTACACCTTAATGACTACTAACAATACATCGCTATCCAACAGGTAGGATACGAATAAAGTAATCATTTATATAAATGTAATCTCCATTATAAATTCAAAATTTTTTAAATTCTTACAAAATTTTCCCAAGTTTTATAATTCTACTTTTAAAGTGGGCTCTAAAAGTTTAAGTTTATTAAACTATAACTCAATTGTCTCTGTTTATTATCTCTTCTAAACTTTTTTGATTAAAGCCAGATGACTCATTTTTCTAATATTATCACTTTCTCTCTCTACTAAATATTAAATCAATTTCATTTTATGAATAATATTATCATATAATGATTCTTTATATAATCATATATAAATTATTGTATAATTTTTTGGTAAAATCGTTTCAAGATAATGACATGTATATTATCAAGTATTCCTGGTAATGAATGTAAAGTATCTATTTGATTGGCATATTTTGAGGATATTTACTAAATCCAACTAAATTAGATTAACAAGGTTATAAAAAAAATTACATCAATCTTTCTTTATTTATAAATCATGTCCTAATAATGTCAAAGTTCATCCATTTCAAAAAGAATAACAGGAATTAGGTAATTTATTAATTCTCCCATCAATTCCACCTGTTAATTTTACATCATCTTAATACTAACCATTCTATTAAACTATTTTCTAATGGTAGAATTATTTTATTTATATATTTCTAACTATACATCCAATTTTAAAATATTTAAACCAGCTACTGCACAAATAGATGAGATTCTAAAGATGGTAAGAAACCTCCATCCTAATTTTAACATTTTAGCATAAATTTTCCAATAGTATATTAGAATTCACTACTATCTATCTCTAACAGATCTAAATATCCTAATGTACTATAAAACATTCTTAAATTTGTATCATTAGAACTTATAGCGGAGCGCATAAATTTCCATCATCTTAAATAAGTTATCGAACAAAACTTAAGGCTGATTCTTTATCTATTTAAAAATTGCCTTGGATTTGTTTTAAAACGAAGACAGCACAATATTTGTCTACTATTGATGGTTCTGAATCATCAAATGAAGAATCCCT